TTTTTATTTTAATTTCGTTTATCATAATTCTTCATGCATTCTCGACAGATATTAATAATACCTTGGTCGCTTGGAATACTAACCCGAGATTCATTTTTAAACCAGCCGACAAATTCATGATCATATTTAACTTTTTTTAATAGCGGCACCTGTTCGAGCGATATATTTGTTATAAAATCTAGTTTATATTCGATTCCTTTTTTACATTTCTTGTTAAGGTTTATTGGTTGGCATTAACAGTTTTTTCCATAAATTTTCGTACAAACTAAGCACACCAGACAAGCATTCGAACGAAAATTTAAAATCGTTGACATTATTGTTATGTGTCGCGTAGTTTCGGAACAGCCCCTGTACTTGGTTCGGGGGCATGTTGGCGGAAGATGAAAGAGTATATGAAATTGAAAAGAAAGAAAGTCAAGTTAGTGAAACGAAAGGTCAAGTGAATGGCTCACATGATGCACGTGATGGTGTTGGGAATGATGGCGGGAATGGAGGAGATCGAATCAAAGTCGGGTACTTTGATATGGCATGATTGCCGTTAGCATAATATGACAGGATAATTAATGCAGATTAGTTATCAATATTCAATAACGTTATCATTTTCTTTATTTCTTCAAGATAAACTACGCTGTCAATAGACATTTTTTCTTCGAGACAAAGTATCTTATTACTAATTAAAAAAATCAATATACGAATTAAAATAAGAAGTAACAAAATATCAATCTTACTTTTTTTCTTCTAAATTTTTGTAAAAAAAAAAGTTCTGGATAATTTAAATTCTATTTGTATCTTTATGTTTAGAATATGTAAAATATTTATATGGATTTAGTAATAGAGTCGTTGTTTTTATAGTTAAATTATGTTTATATTATGTTTGATAATCACGGATATAATATTTCTCTTACAGATAATATTATATTTTTAATGCTAAACTTTTATAAATTCATTTAGTAGTATATACGATAAATAAAGCTTTATATGTTATTAAAATAATAACTCAAATTTAACGTGTTTAAACATCAATGTAAGGTTTGCGATTTTGTCTAGGTTCAAGTAAATGAGATAAATACTCAATATTGTTATTAGTAATAAATAAACGGATTTCTCTTATAAAGGTATTGTATACTTCAAGGTTTAGATTTAATAATACGTGTTTATCGAGTGTTTATAATAATCTGATGCATTATTCATTAGTTAGACGACTACAAAAATATCTTTTTTTTGTTAGTCTACCATATTATGAGAAGCGTCTATACACGTGATTTTAGAAAGTGTCAAGTCAAAGAAATATTACTACAGCAAATGTAGTAATATTGGTTAATAAAGTTAAAAACTAATATGTCTTTATTTTTTTCAGAAAATATAAACTCGTGAACATAATAATATTAACCTTAAAAAACTAAAAAACTAAATATAGAAAGAATTTATTCTTTCTTGAAACGTATAATATAAAATACAAATAAAACGTTTATAAATCAAGGCAAAATTTATTGTCACTATCAATAAGTTTACTGCTACCATGAGAATTTATATTATCATATCTTATAACGTCTGATAACTCATTTTTAGACTCATTCAACGTCTTAATCACCTGTTCATTACCTCTCCATTTCTCGAAAATTTCACAGAGCTTTTCTGCCGATGGTCGATTTTTTGGTTCTTTATCCCAACATTTTTCCATCAAATTCATATAACATGGTGAAGATTTTTTATTAACTGGTGGTCGTAAATCATTAATAACGATTTGTCCTATCTGGTCTTGAATGTTATTATTCATATCATAGTAATTTCTCACATCTTTTCCATACAATACTTCCCACATAATAATCCCAAAACTGTAAATATCTGATTCGATAGTATATGTTTTATTTTTAAAAACTTCTGGAGCAACATATGGTAAGACCCCATAAATTTCATCATCATTTCGTTTCAGATATTGCACTGAAAGACCCAAGTCTGCAATGTATGCACTAAATAAATTATTTTGAAGAATATTTCCACTATGTAAATCTCGGTGAACAAACCCTTGAGAATGAATTGCTTTAAGATCAGAACTTATGCTAAGTAATAAATTAAACCGAGATATCCATTCCAATTTTGCTATAGAATCTAAATTTTGACATAAAGAACCCATTTGTGCATATTTTAACACAAGATTATATTTTCCATCTTTGTTTTTCGATACACCGTAACATTTCATAAATGAAGGATTTTCAACTCCAATTTCACAATATGCCTTCAACTGAAAAAAAAATGGTATTAAAAATTTATTGAAAAAAAAAAATAAAATAAAATAAACGAAGTGAAAACCTCATTCAAGTATTCATCATTGAGGATTTCTTTTAATGCAAATTCCGTTGGTCTTTCACTTAGTTGAATATATTCATCCCCTCTGGTTAATATTAATTTATTCCACTGTGCATAATACACGTTTGCAAAACCGATTTGTCGAATATCTTTAAATTCATTATAGGAAATCCACATTAACTGATATTTATCATGACCTAATAATTCTTTAATATGATTGTCAATATCAAGATCATTATATTCGGATTTGACAATTTCATGAAATTTGCTTCTTTCCATTCGAAACCAATAATTAGCTTTTTCTAAATCCATACTGTTTCTATAAAAAGTACCAAGTATATTCGTTCCACCAGTGTCACCCATGTCTGCGGCTTTCTGGTAATATTCGAACGCCCTTTTTTTGTCCTTCTCAACACCGGTTCCATTCAGATAACAGTATCCAACACCACGTATTCCACTAGCATTACCCATGTCTGCGGCTTTCAGTAAATATTCGAACGCTTTTTTTCGTCCTTCTCGACACCGGTTCCATTCAGATAACAGTATCCAACATCGTATGTTCCATTAACATTACCCATGCTTGCGGCTTTCTGAAAATACTCGAACGCCTTGTTTTCATCCTTCTCAACTCCGGTTTCATTAAGATAACAAACACCAACATTAAATGTTCCTAGTGCATCACCCATGTCTGCGGCTTTCTGAAAATACTCGAACGCCTTTTTTTTGTCCTTCTCGACACCGGTTCCGTTTTGATAACAAGCACCAACACTATTTGTTCCATTAGCATCACCCATATCTGCGGCTTTCTGGTAGTATTCAAACGCCTTATATCCGTCCTTCTTGACACCGATTCCATTTTCATAACAAGTACCAATATTATATGTTCCATCAGCATTACCCATGTCTGCGGCTTTCTGGGAATATTCGAACGCCTTTTTTTCGTCCTTCTCGACACCGATTCCATTTTGATAACAAACATCAACATTATATGCTCCACTAGCATGACCCATGTCTGCGGCTTTCTGGTAATATTCGAACGCTTTTTTTTCGTCCTTCTCAACGTTAAGTCCAACTTGATACTGAAACCCAATATTATTTACTCTTTCACCCACTTCAAATGTGGTACTTATATTAACTTTATAATCTTCAGTATAACATTTTCCAAGTTCGAAAACTCCTTTAATATCATATAAAGCTGTTCATTGAAAATACGGAAAGGCTTTAGTTTCATCCTTGATAACACCTATACCGTAACGATAACAATATCCAACCATATATGTTCCTTCAAGTAGTCCCTTGTTTGAAGCTTTTAAATAATATTCAAATGCTTTTTCCTCATCCTTTACAGTTCCAACACCGTAGTGATGACAGTATCCAACTTGAAATATTCCTAAAGTTTGTTCTTTCTTTGCAGACTTCTGATAATAAATAAAGGCCTCTTTCTCATTCCTTTCAACCCCGATACCATGCTGTAATTGATATCCGAGATTATAGTCTTTAAATGAAACGGTATAAGATTGATTCATTTTAGTTGAAAAACTTTAGTTGTTTCAAGAAAAATATGAGGTTTCACTCAACGAATATTAATATAGTAAATTCAACGGAGTTTAGCGGAGTTTAACGGAGTTTGTCCGCCCATTCTATAGAACATTCAGAGGCGCCTTTTTACTAAAAATTATTACAAGATATAACTATAGCAACATGCATACATAATTTACTGAGATTAGTAAAATGTCACGTGAAAGTCAAATGATTAAATAAAAAAAAAGATCGCTCAGACTATTATACGTAAGTAACAAGCCTTGTGTGTATTCCACTTCACTCTACACTTACGATCCTAGTGATGTTATAGCGGTAGATGATCATTACCAAAGTTCAAACATTTTTTTCCTATAGGAACGCGCGAGGCCAGAAAATGATCGGCTACCCGGCAGTTACACGAACCAGTGTCGGGAATTCCTCACATCTCACAGATCACGAGCTGTCGTCCTATTATGGCGAGATTACCAAAAAACTTCCCTGGCAAAAGATTACACAAGTGTAACGTTACATTCGATCTGCAAAAAAGTGCTCCGAGTGACGACTGCGAGGTCCTTCCGATAGGGAAAAATCACGTGTTTGTGTAGCGAGCACTTTTTTGCAGATCTGGTGTAACGTTTTCCCTCATTGGTGGTTCGCGTTTCCGAAACCGTTTAGCCCAATCGCGAGACGAGAAATTCGCGAAAAAATTCTTAGGGTTACCATATTAAGCATCGATATACACTCTAATGTTCGGTGCATGTCCGAGATCGCCAAAAAAGTGCTCCGCGTTCTTCCGGTACTGCCCTGCCTTTTATATCCAGACGTCATAGGAGGACATTCGTCTGATTGGTTGATGTAAATCAATTGACCGGGAACTTATTTATACAGTTTAAAGTACTTTTTGAAAACGTAACGTTTCACTACAGCA